ATACATCCCTTACGGAAGAAATTTGGCAGCATCTAGCAACACTACACGTACATTCTTTTCAACCCAGTAATCTCACTTTTGGGACTCTATTCTGAAGATTCACTGGCCAAAATCCAAAATGCTGTATATTCAAAGCTATTCTGTGCAGCACTATTTATAAAAGCAAAAGTCTGAAGAAACCCAAAGTCAATCAGCAGAGGCCTGGTTAAATAACTATGATACATCCACCTAAAAGAGTCCTGTGCAGGAATGAGGAAGGATCACTACAGAATGTTCTGGATGATCTCCAGGATCTACTGTTAACTGAACAAAGTGAGGTGAAGAAAAAGGAGTATGGAATGCTACCATTTGTGCAAGAAAGGAAGAAATATGATTCTGTGTGTGTGTGTGTGTGTGTGTGTAAATTCTTACATTTTCAAAAGAAAACAAAGAAAGAATAAGCCCCAGATAATAATAATTATTGTCTATGGTGGGGAGAAATCAGTGAAGGAATTGGAATGAGAATAACTAGCTGAATGTATCTTGCTTCCTAGTTTTGATTTTGGAATCAAGAATTTTACATAATCCAAAACCAAAATAAAGGATCGAAACCAAACAGAATCAGCTATACATATGTACTGGAATTGAATGATTAAGTAAGTGGAATGGAGCCAGATTTCTCACTGTTGAAGTGGGAAGTCACAGAGAAGCAAAGGCAGACAGCAGAAATGATCCGTGGGGTAACTGGAGTCAGAGACACTAGTATGAACTCACGTTTAGTTTAATATAGATACAGATGGCTACACATGGAAATGTTTATAGATCCGCCTAACATACCCCAGTTAGAATCACATGTCCATTTCCTCGACCTGATAGCTCTGTGACAGCCTGGAAGCAATGACACCCCAGTAGCCACAGCACACCCAGCTCCCAGATCTTGGTTTCTAACACCCTCCTCCAGCTATAGGAACTGGGGCATCTTAGAGAAGTGACTGGTTCTATGACTAGGGCAAGAAATATGCAAGATAATCCTGGAGCATCTTGTAGTGCCAGAAATTAAGGAAGTACTTAAAAAAATTATGGGGACATGTCAAAAACACACAAAAACAAACTAAAGAGCGCCCAATGGCCAAAGCTGGACCAATTTGAACAATAACAGAAATAAAATAGAATCGAATTATAACACAAAATATAACAAAAATATAACTATGAGTCTGTAGTGATATAAATAACAATTTTAATAAATAAATGAGAAGAGACAAATCTCTCATGTACAGGAATTCCAAATAATTTATGTAGCTATCCACCCTCAAGGAGATAAAGCAAAGTTCTCTCCTCCATAAGTACAGGCCTATAAAGGGGGTAGGGGGTTGTAGTGGACAGAGTTGACAACACTGCCTCAGAGAGGTGATAACTCACATACCCTCCATGGGAAGTTGTGAAAATGGCATTTCACTCCTCTAGTCTTCCTTTCCTAGACCCATCATGAGAAAAATATTAGCGAGTTCCCAGCTGAGTAACATTTCACCCAATATCTGAGCAGTACTTGAAACTGTCGAGGCCATCAAAAACAAGGAAGGGCAGAGAAGTTGTCACAGCCCCCTTTAGCCAAAGAAGACAAAATATCCAAAAATAATGTGGTTTCCTAGATGGGATCCTGGGACAAAAAAAACCCGGATATTAGATAAAAACTAAAGAAATCTGAATGAAGCATAAATGTTAGTAATGTATCAAAAGTGGTCCTTTAATTACAACAAAAGTACCACATTTGTGTAAGATTTTAATGACAAGATAAACTAGGTATGGGATATGTGGGAACTCTCTGTACTGTCTTCACAATTTTTTCTGTACATCTAAGACCGCTATAAAAATTTTAAAATTATTTTTTGGGGGAGGTGGCCAGTGCCTCGTTAGGGGGTTCTTCTTCCTGCCACGGAGGGTATAAGCCACCTAAGAAATGAAAGTCTAGAATAATTTAGTGAAGAACAAAAGACAAAGTCTGAATTAGGTTTAAAGGATTGAAGTGCCTGATAGGTCCAGCCTACACAGGAGCTGGAGCTAGACAATTAGAAAATGGTCCCCGTGGTTTATTTAAGGGGGTACATCAAAGGCAGGGGTAAGTTTTCAAGGGTGGAGTCTTGCCTCATGATATCTTACAGTCAGCAGGTTGACTGGCATCTTGGCAGGTCACTCCCATCTCAGAGGGGCTGTGTGGCTGGGTGGTTGTAGCAGGTCACCCCATCTTCAGTGCTGTGTGGAACATGGCAAAGTGAAATAGGGCTCATAATGTGTCTGGGCCGTCAACCAGAGGAAATGTCCACTGGAAGTTCCCAGACACCAGATTATCCTATTCACTACACTGTGATGGGCAATATAGTCCACACACAGCCCATGGACAGCTCTCAACATTATTTAAAAATAAAACACAAGTAAACTTAACAGTACATCAAGCTGATTCTATAAACATAAAAGAATCTTTAAGTGACTTTGAAACACAGCATCCTGAAGACAATCATATTGCACAAAGAAATCTTAGATTGTATTTGGTATCATTTGTGATGGTCACAATTGGTATTTTATACCAATTTGGAAAGAAAAAGAGAGAACAAACATGATTATGTTAATATCATTAAGAGCTAAGCTTTTAAAACCAAAGTATATAAAAACGTATAAGCTTTGTTTAAATGAGAGCATAAACTCATAATTTGTTTTTCTTCCCTCTAAATAGTGCATTTCCTAGTTTTACCCACTGAAAATGCCCAGGATCGTTGGGCATTTCCTGATGCCCAGGAGCAATTAGCACCCCTAGAGCACAGATTGTAATGCCTAAGTACCATTTCCCACAAAACTGAATCTGAGAAATGGCTAGTTGCAGATCTGAGGCAGATGAGCCTGCAATATCATATCACACCTAAAATCAAGGGATTTATTGAGACTATTAAGCCATATTTAAAAAAAAAAAAACCCACAGGAGCCAACATTAAACAACTCCCATCCACCAAAGACAGGAAAACCTAACATGGAAACAAGTAACCATTGTAACAGATCAAACCACACTGAGTATGTGAATGTCTATGAACCCATAATGTCTCTCTCTGACAAGAAAGAAAACCTTATTGGCCACTTTTGGGAAATTTTAGGGCATCACTCATTCTGACAAATATGAAAATGAAAACCAAATGTAAATACTAAAGCTTTTATCTTGCATTCCTGTGCAGACTGTATTTTGTGGGAACCAAAATAGTTTATGAAGGAAATTTCTTCTCCATCAAAGAATCATGGCTAATAAAAAGCAGAAGAAAAGACATAAGTAGAAATCACCATGAAACAGAACTAGACAGTGATCAAATTGGCTGCTTCAACTACTAAATAAAATGTTGATGGGGAACTTTATAATGAAGAACCAAGCTGACAACACTTGAACCTGCTGATGAATTTTAACTAAAAGTGGAACAGCTGGACATCGTGTTCCTCCACCTGTGGAGTTTTCTTGCCAAAAAAAAATATTGAATCTAATCAAGCTTCTACCCATCAGCTTACAGAAAGAGAGTCAGGGGAACATGCTGAAACAGTGCCGTGAAGATACCGAGAGTCAAATGCAGAATGTGGGGAATTCTGCAGGAGGAATGGTACGATTGCCTCAACGAATAAATAGCCCTAAAATAATGGAGGGGACTATTATAAACTAAAAGAGACATAGCAACTAAACACAGTATGTGTATCTTTCTAGAGATCTGAACAAACCAAACCGAAAAAAAAAAAAAAAAAGAAATGAGGTTACTATGGAAAACTGAACATGGAGTGGGAATTTGATAATACTAAGAAAGTATAATTAATGTTAGGCATGATGGTGGCAATGTGGATATACTGAAAGAATAAAAAGTTCCTATCTGCTGGAAGAAAACACTGAAGTATTGATGGGGGAAAGAATGAAACATATGAAATTCACTTTAAAATATTATAGTCTGGGGACTGGGGTCGTAGCTCAGTGGTAGAGGAGTGCTTGCCTTGTACCTAGGAGGCACTGGGTTCGATTCGCAACACTGCACAAAAAATGAATAAAGAAAATAAAGGTATTGTGTCCATCTACAACTAAAAAAATAATGATTTTTTTTAAAAATCCAGTCTCACCCCATTCAAAAAAGTGGCACAGCTGGGTAGAATTGAAACAAGAATAACAGAATGTGGATAGTGACCAAGGCTGAATGACGAGTACATGACTGCCACTGTACTATTATCTCCAGTGCTATGTATGTTCAAAGATGTTCATGATAAATAGTAAAGCATGTATTTTTTTTTCCAAGACTTGGTATGGATTTATGGGGAGATTTTGATTCTAGATAGGTGGAGGGGGAGGGGAGTCAAGACAAGCAACCCAGGTAATTCTGACCCAGATAGTTCAACACCAGGTGACAGACTATGCACCACTGTGGGTAGGAAACAAGCCCTTGGTAGGTTATTAACTAGGGGTGGGGCGTGGCTCAGTGGTAGAGTGCCTGCCTAGAGAGGCCCTGGTTTCAATCCCCCTCAGCAAAAAAAAAAAGGAAGACCATGTTTTGATCTGGGATTGAAGTTGCAAAATCCCTTCCATACAGAAGAAATATGTGAAATATCAAATGTGATAGAATAGAAATAGGCAAAGAGAAGGCTGACCAGGGATGGCTATCTCCTAGAGTTGGGTAATATCATCTTTCTGCCCAAGGCTCTTTCATAAAGACGAATTCAGGATTCTCCAAACTCATTAATTGAAGGATCAGCCGGATTCTCAAAGACTTGCTAAGTGGGTGCCAATTTCGTACTTCTCTTTCCTCCAGCTGTTGGGCTGTGCGTGATTCTTCTGTCTGGTTTATGGCACAATGGAGCGGTTTCCCTCTCCCTTTTACCCACATGCCAAGAAAGCTGTTTTTGAGACTTGTGACCCTTCCATCCTCTTGGATTTGCTTATATGCATATTTTAACTCCGTTGCCAGCAGTAATAAAGAAGGAGACCATCAGAGCCCGTGCTTCTGTTCAGCAGTCCCCTAAGATCTCTGAGAAAGCAGATCTGTTTAGGTAAACCAGAAGTGAGAATCCTCCTGAGGTGTCTGAGCTACTGAGCTTAATTGGGCTGCAGCTGCTTTCCCTCCTCCCATACTCATTCCTGGTTCAGCTTGTAGACAACAGGGATTTGCCAGTTAATTGGCTGTTTCTATGATTGTCATTCACTTAGGCACCCGTCTTCCTCTTTGTTACTACAAAATGCTTCTCTTAAAATGATTTGCTTTCCTATGGATCCTGAAGACAAATGTGCAACTCTGAATCTTTAGGATCTGTCACAGAGAGTCTGCTCCATGAGGAGAGATGGTGTATGTTGTGGGACTTGGGGTGCTGTGGCGAACAGAGTCCAGTGGGGCTGGGACTGGCGTCCTAGGTTATATATTAAATAAAGATGCTGGACTTGTTTCAAGTCTCAGAACCAGTTGGGCGGGTTGAGGGAGTTTCTTTTTATTTCTCACCACCCAACTGAACAGAGGAAACTTTCAACTTCGTCAGGTGAATGGTTTACTTGGAATTGTTGAGAAAGATCAGCAAACTGAGGTTTAGGTTGCATAGTTCTGTCATCTTTTTGGCTATGGGCTAGACCCCCCAGAACAGATGCAAGGCCACAGGATTGAGCAAGAGGCCTACTAGCTCTCAGTTCAACTTCAGACTTAAGCTGCCAATGTTGTTTTTTTTTTTTTAACTTGGCTGGCCTCTGACATAAAAAGCAATGGGATCCACTGCCAAAATCAATACATCGTATGTGTCTGTGTGTCTGCCAGCCTCGGGTTGCCTCATGGTGTTGGGTTTTGGTGGTCACTCTATCTCCTCTCCTCATTGCTCAGTGTCAAACTGCTGCCCAAGTTTCCGCCAAACTGTTTCCAGAGCCTCCAGCCCCTGCTGATCCAATGGAAAGTTCCAGAGTCATTCTGAGAGTGTACTTCTTTGGAGCACTTGGTAATTTTTTTTTTTTAATGGGAATTTTGCCATTCAGGAATCCTAATTGGTTCCTAGGAGATGAGATGATTCTTTTGGCTCCCACAACCTCTGCATTTCTGCAAGGCCATCCTCTGTTTACCAAATGAATACACTGGTCCAGGAGCCAAGCAGAAATCATCTCCAGGCCCTCTCCACTAAAGAAGCAAAGAATGCTATATGTTGTAAATCAAAAAGGAAGTCTGGGGGTTGCATTTCAACAAGTCTCTTTTAACTCAGGAATTGACGCCAATAGTAGGTGAGGTCAAATGGATTAAAGTATCTTGTAAAATATATAGTATGTGCCTTGCGGCTCAGTTGCCTCTCCCCCTCCCTCTACTACCTAGAGTAGGGAAAAGGAGTGTTTTAAAAGCCCACCACCCAGGTAGCTCCCCAAATCAATTAGATCTCTATTTATGGGAGAGGTTTTTGGGTTGTTTGCTTTCACTACCTAGTTCATTCCAGTGTGCTCCATGGTCAAGAACCATCATTCTAATGAGAAGTCTAAAGGGCTGGGAATAAAATTATCACTTCCCAATATACTGTCTTTTTGCCATTCATGAGTGTGTTGGCCTGTAAAACCATGGGTAACTCTATTGTAAAATGATTTGAGGGCTGGGGATGTGGCTCAAGCGGTAGCGCGCTCGCCTGGCATGCGTGCGGCCCGAGTTCGATCCTCAGCACCACATACAAACAAAGATGTTGTGTCCGCCAAAAACTAAAAAATAAATATTAAAAATTCTCTCTCTCTTTAAAAAATAAATAAAATAAAATGATTTGAGCTCCAAAACTACTCTATGCTTTTCTTCCCACCAGTCTCTCTCCTGGAAACAAAGAGCATCCCAGAGCCAGTTGTTTTTCCACAACACCTGGATCTTCTCTAAAGCTGTCTATCATGCAAAGTGATCTGTCTAATCAGGTCAGTGTGTTGGTGAGTCCAGACTGCCTTACTGGGCTTAAGTAAACAAGGAGTGTTGGTTTACAAAGGAAAAATACAAGGCCCATGGTGTTTCTGATCTGAATGTTGCCAACTCGTTTCAAGTGAGTAGTGGAATTTTTCTTGATGCATATTTTAGTCTCTCAGTTGTGCTGCTTTCCAATTCGTCCGATGCTCAGTTAATTGGATATACATCCTTCTCAGGAATGCCTTAAAATAAAAATGGATCCCCTCTCTTCCTCCACTGATGGAAATTTAAATACTTACAAAGCTAAGGAGACTACATTATCCAAAATGTGCAATTTTTTGGTCTGGCCTGGACTTTAACTAGTTATTATTGTAGTTGTCTACATGGATAGAGAGAAGCTTTAACTCTTGAACTGAGGCACAATTAGTCGGGCATAAAGGAACTCTAAAGGGGTACTAATTGCTTTTAAAAAAGATAAATTGAATTGAACCAGAGAAGCAGAAAATTACCTTTGTTGAGAATCATCTTGGTTGTTTGAGAAAGTGAAGGCTTGTTGAAATTGGAACAACTAAAGGAGCATGGCTGAGAGAAGGAGCTTAACCACTTTCTCGGTCGAACGTGAATCCCAAGGCAGAAACTTGGAGTATGGATGCTGCTCAGTTGAGATGAGGCTGGCTCCCCAGGCCCTGGTCACCTGCCTGCGCTTCTTTAACCTGCTCAGGGATTGTCTTGACCAGTCTTATAGCAAGGACTCCCAATGTCATTTGTAAAGATTATCTCAGAGGGTGTGTAGTGAAACTGTCTAAATGAAGGTCATTTAAATTCAGTTTCATTTTTTAAATGGTCCTCGAGGGCAGGGGTGAGGTAGTGCTCCTCTCTGTGAACCCCATGGCCCTTTAGGGTGCATTACATGTAGAATGAGTCCAATGTGTGTGGAGACTGTAGTATTTATAGCTCTGTGAGTCAACCTCAGGAGAGAGCAAAATCCAACTCAATGTGATGTGTCACAGCCACAGAAGCGCTGGGACCCAGTGACCAGAGGCAAATCCAGAGATATTCTTTCGAGGAGGAGGCATTTAGAAAAATCACCACCCCCTCCTTAATCTAGGGGGTTGAGGACATATTGATTTATTAAGTACTATGTGCTAGTGGTCCTTGTTTTTTTTTTGTTGTTGTTGTTGTTGTTGTTGATGGACATAGTAACTTTATTTATTTATTTAGTGGTGCTGATGATCCAACCAAGTGCCTCACACATGCTAGGCAAGTGCCACAACCCCAGCCCACGGGTTCTTGGTTTTTCCCTCCCATAGCTGAGAACACAAAATAACAAACTTTGGAAATATTCACTTAGTAAAGTCCATTGGTAACCACCAGACTCGTCTCTGCCCTGTCTCCCTCCACTTCTCAACCGCATTCACACCACTGGCCATTCCTGCCTTTGCATTCTCCTCTCTGGGCTTCTCTTCCCTTCATTGTGTCCAGTCTCCTTTGCTGGCCCTTGGCTTGCTGCCTGACCAATGCTGAAAAGCCCTGTGGTGAGCCCTGGGCCCTGGTCTCTATCTTACTTATTCCCTTGCTGTTTTGCATGCATGACCATGTCTTTAAACTCCTTGTTCTAGCTGGGTGAGGTGGCAAACACCTGTAATCCCAGCAGCTCTGGAGGCTGAAGCAGGAGGATCACGAATTCAAAGCCAGCCTCAATAACTTAGCAAGGCCCTGAGCAACTTAGCAAGACCCCGTCTCTAGATTAAAAAAAAAAAAAAAAAAAATATATATATATATATATATATATATATATATATATATATATATATATATATATATATATATATATATGGCTGGGGATGTGTCTGAGTGGTCAAGTGCCCCTGGGTTCAATCCCTGGTACCAAACAAACAAAAACTCCCCATATAGATCATCAGCTCAGATTTGTCCTTTGAGCTATTCACTCAAATTTCCAACTACCTTCTGGGTTTCTGCACGTGGGGGCCTAAGGGGCCATCCAAGTCCTAGAATTCTAAAATAGCCTTGGTTCTTGTCCTCCCTAGCTTGATTCTATCTTCTCCATTAAGTAAAACAGGGCCACCTAGTTGCCCAAACCAAAACCTAGTAGTCATTCTCCATTCTTCCCCTTTCCTCTAATCCTTCAATGAATTGTCAGGTTTTACCTCCAGAATATCTTTCTACTGCTCCACTGATCTTCATTTCCTCCTTCCTGTCGTCTGTCCCTAGGACGACTGTCATGGCCCCTTGGCTAATCTCTCACTTTTCACCCTTTCTCCCTACCACACATTCTCCACACAGCAGCGAGCGTGAACTTTACAGAATGTAAATCAGATCATGTTAATCGCCTGATTAAAACCCTGCAATATTAGCCCCGGAATGCAAGGATACCTATCTCATTCTGTAAAACAACACACTAACAGATTAGAGGAGAAAAGCTCCATGAGCATCCAGCTGAGTTCAAGACGGTCTTCAATAAAACTCAAAACTTACTCATGGCAAAAACTAGAATGAAGAAAACTTCCTTAACCTGATAAAAGTGATTAAAATGCAGTTTTTAAAAAAGAGCCAAAATAAAAAGTACTGGGGACTGGTGTTTTGGATTGCAATGTTAAATTGAGTGGGCAATGTAGGCCACATTAAGAAGGAAAAAGATTACCAGGTGTGGTGGGGCACAATGGTAATGCCAGCGACTCCACAAGCTGAGGCAGAAGGATTGCAAGTTCGAGGTCAGCCTCGGCAATTTAGCAAGGCCCTAAGCAACTTAGAGAGATCCTATCTCAAAATAAAAAATAAAAAGGACTGTGAATAAGTCAGAGGTTTTTTTTTTTTTTTTTTTTTTTTTTTTTTTTTTTTTTTTTTACATAGAGAGCTTTAATTTCACCAGTAAGGGAACGGTTTTTACCAAAAAAAAAAAAAAAAAAAAAAAGTGGATGAGTAGGATTGGTGGTTGCACCTCAGTTGGATGCAGTGGGGAGAGGCTGAGCTAGGACACAAGCAGGCAGGCGGTGGGAGAATATGGGTGCAGCCTCAGCAAGGACAGGGAAACTTCGGAATGCTATGGCTGAGCAGGGGAGAAGGAGAGGGCATTGAGGATGACTTACTGGTCACTGCCCAGGTGGCTTGGAAAGGGTGGTACATGACCAGGACATGAGAAAAGGAGAGGTGCAGGGGTGAGTGGCTGGGGCTGGGACCCTGAGCTCGGTCTGGGACCAGTTGCTTTTCAGGTACTGGTTGATGTTCAACGGCAAAAAGGAAAGAGTTGAAAGTGTGGGTCGCTCCGGTGTCTCTGTAACACTCAGACTAGTTCTTGAAGGTTGCCACCTTTCTGGTCAGACACCAAGGGCAATAACTCACCATCAAGTTGAAATCATTCCACTGCACCATCTTGGCACTAGGGGCTGCCCAGAAGCCTGAATCCATGTTCAGAACCTCTGGAAATCCCTGCTGCTAGTGGAGACCCCCAGCCCAGGCCAATTGCATAGACAACTCTAAGACTGTGAGAGCTAGAAAGGACCTTAGCCATCTGATCCGTTGGTGAGCAACAACCCTTCTTTTTAATAAAATTTACATTTTAAAACTGACTTAGATTTATAGAAAAGTTACAGTCAGGGCAGAGCTCCCACGTCCCTTATACCCAGCTTCCTCTATTATTAACATCTTACATTAGTATATTTGTCACAATTAATGAACCAGTATTGATACATTATTATTAACTCATGTCCATACATTTAGATATCATGTCTCCTTGGGCTCCTCTAGATTATACCAATTTTTCAAACTTCCTTTGTTCTGACCTTGACAGTTTTCAGAAGTGCTGGTCAAGTATTTTGCAGAATATTTCTCAATTGAAGTTTATCTGATGTCCTCCCCCTCTTCCTCCTCCTTTTTGTTTTTTAAGTAGCTGGCTCCCTTTCCTGCTAACTGAAGATGGAACAGCTTTAATTAAGCCTTAGGTGAGACAAGAATAACCTCCAGGCATCTCTCTGGAACACTACAGGTCCTGAGAAACAAAGTTCAGAACAATCCCTCATTTATAGACCAGGAAGCTGCTCTCCTCGCCCCGACTTGCCTTTTCTGGTCAGGATTTTCCTCCATCGCCCACCCACTTCAGTTGCATACACCTCCTTCCCACATGAATTTCCTGCCCCACAGGGTCTTCATACTGACAACCTCTCTTATTGTTCTGACCTCCAGCCACCCCTTCCGTGTACATGCTTGAATTTCTCATTGCCACATAAATGCATTTACATTCAGATTCTATGGCTCAGCCAGAGAGAGGGTCAGTGGGTCAAGGACTACTTTGAGAAGTTAACCAGAAAAATATACAAAGTCTCGTTTCACCATTTCAAGGGCTCATGAACCCCCCGGGAATAAAACATGGACCCCATGAGGAATCCTGAGACAGGACAATGCATGGAATCCACATATTCTATGTGAAATTAGAGGCAACAAGTGAGCAGGTGCACCCGAATACTGAGGTTTGTTGTGCCCCAGGCTCTGGTGTCCACAGACCTAGGCCAATCCTGCCTTGACCTCTTACTAAGTTGGTCTTCCTGGTGGGTCCTCTGTGCCTCCCCATTGCACTTTGTAAAATGAGGATAATATCACACCTAGAGGTTGTGCTGAACCTGGTCCCGTCAGTGTCTGGCCAAGCTCACTAGCTGTCGTATTATTGCTGCTATTATTATTATAACTGTTGTCATTATGATCATTAATATTATCAGACATTGGCAACCTGATGTGCTTCCTATTTCCTGTGTTGTTCTGACTCACCAGCAAACCAAGGGTGGGAAGACACTCAGACCTAACATTTTTCTGGGATCCATATTTTATGAGACGCTGACCAAAGGGGAACATTCCCAAGTCAACTAAGGAAGCAGCTCAAAACTCAAAATGACCTTAAGATGGGGCGGGGGGGGGGGGGGCAGCGGTGCTTGGGCCTCATCTGGGTGGCCTTGGCTGGAGAGAGGTGCTCTGAGGGAAGGTCTCAGCATGTCCTTCCACAGGG